GTTATGTCAGGATCCGTAGACACTTTTAAACGGAGGCTAGATCAACATTGGAGCGCGCACCTCAATAACGCCGGACTACAACTACCTTGATAGCCAGCGTGGACAATTTAGTGTTATGACGATGCTACTACCAATAGTCAAGTAACGTATTTTTATGTAATTTATTAATCGTGAGCAACGTCGCACCGCTGCTCGCATTTACCATGATGCCCGCAGACCAAAAAAATTTTTACTCCTTTTCCTGTATCTTAGGTGTGTTTCAACTGTCTGCTGTATTTAATCAACAAACCGAGTTCATATGCCTTTAAGTGCGTTAACGCATGAAATTCGGTGTTCATCTGTACAGTTTTTGTTATTCCCCTTGTATTTCCTTCATGTTACTTCTTTTCCATTTTCTCCATATACTTCCTCTGCATGTAACCAAAAGGGATTTCAAAGGTACACACTTACTTTCCATGAAATACACTGATACTGATACATACTGCATCTGAATCGCAGGAGAGCAGGGCTGACATCTCTCCGGAACTTCAAACTACCCCGACTTCATCCTTACTGGTCTCCACGGTCTCTTACTCCGTGATAATGCCTTGGTGGTTACCTTGACACCCGGAGTCTGAGGGCTTCAATCCCATCCTGGCAACTGCCATGCCGACCTTTGACTTGCCTTTTATCTGAACTAATAACATGATTGCTCCTGACAGCTTGCCTTAAACTCCTAGTTGTCCACCTAACCGCAATTCACTACTACGCTGGGAAATTGTATGTCGTCCAAAAAGGAGCCTGGACGATCGAGGCGTGCGGGTCGCATTAAGTTCTCATGTGGCACCTGCCAGACTGAGGCTCATGCAACGTTAATTGCTGTTCCCCGTCTGAGATTCAGTCAGTCAGCCCTTTCTAGCTGCCATCACCCTCTGGACTGGGCTTATTTTGAGTAGTCATGTTCGATCAGAATTGCCTAATCGTTAGAAATCCTCTCAGGGCTGCTAGTTGTCCTCAGCGTTCATGCTGAACGATCTATCATAAACCGTCATTTGTTCTCTAAGTCAGATAAATGAGTCGCGAAACTGTGGCGGGTGATGTAAGAGACATTAAAGGAATCACTTTTGTCCCGGCTTCTAGCCGGGAGTGTATGGGATCTTAACCTGGGCCAGCCTTCATGCTCCCTCTCTCTCGCTCGCTCGCTCGTTCCCCACTTCCTAAAATAAGGCTGCGCGCATTGTTTTTCCCTTGCGACGACCCCATCTGGTCACACCTATCTGTGTTCTGTGGTGCTCTCCACTCGAAATCCGAGCACCCCCTGACGAGGCCCTCTGCCGTTGCAAGATCACGCCAAATTCCTGGTCCAACCGCATTGGCATTTACAAACCTTTACTGTCGGCCTTCAAGCAGCTGAATGATCGGTTAGGCAGTAACACTGTTGCGACCAAGATAATGTGCATGTCCTGGCCATCAGAATTTCCGAGCCCAGTCCTGTTTAGGAGAAGAGGGACCTAAGATGAAAACTCCTAAGTGAAAACTCCTTGAGATCGAAAAATACCCCATCTTCATTTAAAGTTTTTTTTGGGAAATACGTAATTTGCAAAAATGTGCACGAGAAAAAACATTTTCCGTGCTCTCTTTAAGATACGCTTTACTTTGCAAGTATCGAAAATCGGTCGAAGAAGGCATGCTATTTAAGTAGTCACCTAGGCGAGTGTGACTTCACAGGCAGCGGGAAAGGGCAAGCATTCGGCAGCCGACATCCAGGCCTGACTGAAATATCTTGGGATTATGCTGCGTTATAATGGAGGTTACAACCCCACCCAAATAATCCTTTCTAACCTGCTTCATGTTTTATGAGGTGTGTCACCTGCTGCAGTTCCTATCTGTGTTTCGCGCAGGTGTGCACATTTGACCGACGTAGACCTGCACGTATGCACGACATGCAAAGTGATCGACCGTCCTGCTAAGTCGGATTTTTCCTCGTAGAATCTGTCGTCATGGGTCTCCTCCTTCTTCTGCCTTTGTGAAATGCCTTTTGCGGTTTCACCCCGCAGTCAATTGCCCTATTTGTCTTCTTGCAGCCCTGGTTCGCTCCAGCCTTCTGTGCCAACAACAGTTTGTCGCCTCGCATGGTTTCCAGATCCTCTTTGAAGTCCTCGATCGTGTCACCGCCTCGGCGGCCTTGATGCAGGAACACACACGCTTCCTCAACAAGGCCAACTTCTTCCTCTCCTGCATGTGTCAAGAGTTGACGGACGAACAGTTGCGTAAGTGAGAGTCCTTGTTTCTGAGGCATACCTTTGCTTGGTGGCCGCCTGCTGCGGGCGATTGAAATCGCTGTTTGGCTGGCTGATGTGTTCATTGTCCGACTCTGATGTGTGCAG